GCAAAGATGGGGATTAAAGGTAAAATACCACCAGATTTTGATTCGAATGGAATGATTCTTGGAAGTCGAACATTTCTTTTCCCACCTACATTCTTCACGGCTGTTCTAGCTGCTCTAAGTGCAGCTAGAGATGATTTACGCAAATTTGGCGACGGAGAAGTTCGTTTCAACGTTCTAATAATTGGTTGCAGCACGTGTCGCTTAAACGAACCAATACCTTTACCACGTTTCATACCCATACCTAGTTTTCGTTTAGCTTTCATGACTGTAGTAGTCAACCAGGCAGTAGCTTTTTCACCCAAAGACGCGTCGTTTGCTATAACTCGTTCCCACGCTTTGTTTTCCAATACCCAATCTGCTTTATGTCGATCTTTTAATGAATTACTTTGGGAATATGCGATATCATGATCTCTCGCAGCTCGATCTAATGGATTTATCCCTGGATCTCCACGAGCTAGGCGTTTCTGTAATTTAGTTCCAGGTCCTAGATATTGGTAACCAGGGACATGCAATTCAAACGGTATATTGTTGATCAGAGAATTCAACACTCCTTCACCTTGAACGACTAACATTGAAATGAATCGATTCTTGCAAAATTTTTTTATATAACCGAGTGTATAAAATACATCTTAATCATAAGATGAAGGTCATTCAACAAGATAAGACACTAACAGTGGAGAACTTGGATTTTGTCGATAACGTGACCAGAATCAGTAAACATGGTGTATTGTTACCACATTCTTTTCGTGCCATCGTATGTGGTCCAAGCGGATGTGGAAAAACTAATGCTATGCTAGCATTACTGTTTGACCTAAATGGCGCTAAATTCAAAAATGTTTACGTATATTCAAAGTCGTTGTTTCAACCCAAGTATCAGTTTTTAAAGGAAGTGTTGGAATCTGTGAAAGAGGTCGGCTATTTTCCATTTAAAGATAATGATGCCGTAATAAGTCCTGATGAAGCTAAACCAAACTCAGTATTCATATTTGATGACGTATCTACGGATCCACAACAAACAATACGTGAATATTACTGTATGGGTAGACATAAAGATATCGATTGTGCATACCTATGTCAATCATACAGTCGAGCAGGTAAACAACTTCTGCGTGATAATGCCAATCTTATTGTATTGTTTAAACAGGATGAGCTCAATTTAAAACATGTCTTTGATGATCACGTCTCACCCGACATGACATTTGTCCAATTTAAAAAAATTTGTTCTGAATGTTGGCAGGATAGGCATGGTACATTCGTCATTGTTAAGGACTTCGATATTTCTAACGGACGATATCGTTTAGGTTTCGACAAGTTTATAAAATTGTAGGTATGATAGAAACACAAGCATTATATAGCAACATGTTAGACAAAGAGGTCGCTGCACGCAAGCGTAAAGTTACTGAATTAGCTCGAGTCGTTCGCAAAAAGTATTTGGCACTAAAACTAGGTAGAACAGAACAAGACGAGACGCTAAATAAACTCTTTGAACCCATAGCTAAACCTCTTAAAGATATTGCACAATCCTCAAAAACTTCACTTCATGCTATTAGTAACAAGCTTAGACACATCAAAAAGGAAGAAGCGAAAACAGAAAAAGAGGTGAAAAAAGAAGACAGCGATAACGATGTATTTTCCGATGCAACATCAACGTATCAAGTTAACGAACATGAAAATGAAGATTTAAAACAATATAAAGAAATATTAAATAATACTGAATTTCATCACAATTCCGTAGACCATCTTAAAGGTGCAACTGCAGAAAAATATCATAATATTATCAAACCGTTGTTTAAACCTAAAAGAGCAAAGAAGCAATCGCCACCGAAAATTCAGTCTACTACATTAAAGAAACTGTCTTTTAAAGGTCTAGAAAAAGCCACTCGTTCACCACCGAAAACTCGGTCTACTACATTAAATAAACCGTCCTTCGAAGGTTTAGAAAAAGCAAAACGTTCATCATCGTCAACAACGTTGACTTCATCATCTACCTCCAAAGGATCTGGGTTCGTCGATGCTTCACATTTGATCTACAACGATAATCCTATTGAATATGTATATTGGGATGATCCAAATGAACTATGTGACAGACTTAAATTGTTGATTGCTTCCCAAGAAGCAGGAAACACATCTCACAGTAACGAAATTGTTGCCATTATCAACGAATTACGTGAAGCAGATATTATATATTAATGTTAAATTAGATTAACCATCATTTCCAATATGAGTGTTGATAAGTTTGGTCGTCATCATTATCGTTCTAATGAACAAGCTATTAAAAAGCTGCGTGGAGGCATCAAACAATCCATTTTAGATTTACAAATCCAGATACATGCAGTAAATAAGGATATTAAACGAGATCCTCCTGTAGCAGGTATACATCTTTCCAACAAGAAATATGTAGATGACCACATTGTAAATATAAAAAATTTTTTGCGAAAAGAGATTAACTTGATGCGAAAAGAATATAGTTCAAAAGATACTCAACTTGAACAAAAAATTTCTGACTTTCAAAACGCTATCGGTAAGATTGAAAGCAATTTTAATAAAAAAAATAATGAGTTATCTAATGCGAATAAACTGGTTGTTTTGAAAATATCTGATATAACGAAAAAAATTAATGATTTACAAAAAACAATAAGTGACCAGAATGCACCAAAACAAGAAGAATTTGAATATGTCGCAAAAAAAGTTGCAGAAAATACCATGACAGTGGATAGCATTAACAAGAGAATAAATCAAATGGAACCTACATTACAGAGCGTCGTAGATAACATTAGTTCACATTTCATCTGATTTAACAAAAGCAATAACAAGTGACCAGAATGTATTAAAACAAGATATTAAAGAAGGCTTTGAATCTACCACAAAAAAAAGTAGAAAATACCGTGACAGTAAAGATGATTAATAAGAGAATAAATCAAATGTAATCTACATTACAGGATGCAGTAGATAACACTACTTCATGGAAGTTAGTTGAAATTCGTAATGTTTAAAGAAAAACAACAGTTGGTCAACGAATTGCATAAACCAGCACGAAAAAACTATCCACGTCGACGAACCGTCATTAAAGGACTAGATGATTTATGGCAAATGGATATTGCTGAGATGCGGTCTTATGCCAACCAAAATAAATCTTACAAGCTCATTCTTGTCGTAATTGACTGTTTTTCAAAGTTTGTTTGGACTCGACCATTAAAGACAAAAACAGGAGAGGAAATAACAAAGACGTTTGCAGATATTTTAAGTCATACTCGGCGAGTTCCGAAAAATTTACAAACAGACCAAGGTACAGAATTTTTCAATTCCAAGTTTCAAAATCTCACAAGAAACCATGGTATTAATCACTATAATACCTTTAGTATTAAAAAAGCAGCCATATGTGAACGAATTATTCGAACATTAAAGGAAAAACTTTACAAGTATTTTAGTCTTAATGGTACTTACAAATGGATCGATATCTTACCTCAAATTACAAAAGACTACAATAACACCAAACACAGCAAAATTCGACTAAGACCTATTGATGTTAAAAAATCTAACGAAAAAGAAATTTTACGAAAATATTACACACACTTGAAAATTTCAGGTCCAAGAAAATTGAAAGTTGGCGATGTGGTTCGCATTAGTAAAAATAAACACCTTTTTGATAAAGGATATAAGCCGAATTGGATAACAGAACTATTTAAAATTACTGAAATTAAAATAACAAATCCTACAACATACTTGATTGAAGATGTGACTGGAGCGCCTATTAGAGGAGCATTCTACGAAGAAGAATTACAGAAAACAAAAAATACAAACATTTACTTGATTGAAAAAGTATTGCGTAGACGCGGAAATAAGATGTATGTTAAATGGTTGGGTCTTGATGGTAAACATAATAGTTGGATTAAAAATAAAGATGTGGTTTAATATTTTTTTAAATACGCTACATACGAATACTAACTTAAAGTAGAGGGAAACAGTATAAAAGACCTCTCAGCAACCTCGCTCTCCGTTAGTTCACCTCGCTCTCAGTTAGTTCATCAACATGAATTCTCAAGATAGTGGTTACAGTACATCAAGTGATATGGTGATATTCGATGATTCATCATCAAGTGAAATCAATTATGGTGCCGAACTAGATCGAGTTTTAGCAAAATTTGAAGAAGCTGCGAAAAATGACCCATACTATTTGTTAGAAGCCTCCTTTCCACTAGATAGATACATAATTAAAGTTGGTCTATCTCCAGCTAGACAGTTTACGACATCCGTTATTTTATGTCAACATGGTATAAAAGAAGAATTTTTCGCAGTTCGAAGAATTAGTATAGACAAATTTGAGTGGAGTGACATAATTAAACTGTTTACACAAAAGATGAATGATTTTTTCTACGCAGATGAGTATGATCCTGTTGAGTTTCAAAGTGGAGACTACTGCAAGATAAGACAATTGGTGTTGGATTCAATTAAGTTCCTTGTCATTGAAAAACATGGTGTGGAATACTATTTAGATGAAAATGATGTCACGCAAATTCTACAAGTACATCACAGTATAGTGACTCATCGCGTATCGTTATTAGAAAATTTAAAGTTTCCTGCATATTATACAAATGTTGTATATTTTATACAACAGAATTTTTGTACAGATACAAGTTTATATGGTCCGTTTGAAGCTCTAACTGCGTTTTGTGAAATTTCTCCACCAGATTCTTTGTTAAGCCAAGCTATGAGAGAATATGTATATTATTATAAGATTAAAGTTGTAAATGACTTGAATAACTTTAGCAGTTAATAAAAGTAGTATTTATGTAACACTTGTGTTTTATTTTCACAAAAATATTTTTAAAAGGGTAAAAAAAAACAATATTGTACAATAAAGTCATTTTATTTATATACAACAAATTAAAGAGGATGAGTGATTGTGTCTTTTTAACAGCCATACATATTTTTTAATATCCATTTAAACAAAATACCTTCAGCGAAGCGTCTTAAAGCGATTATATTTTTAATGAAAAAAATTATGGTATATCACAATGTCCCCAGGGAAGAGTCTTAAAGGATTCTGGTATTAAATATCGTTTATCATCATAAGGACTTAGGGCTGTTTTTGTTTGCTCTATGCTAAATACTGAGTGTTGATATGACCGAATACACCTTTGTTTTGTGCTCTTAATCTTATATTCTTTTAAACAATTTTCAAAATCTTTAAATGTGATTATATTTTTGACTACATTATATTTTACACCTTTTGCTTTTTTGGTTATACCTAAATTTCGAATATCGCAATCAATTTGTTCTTTGTTTAGCTGTTTCCGTGTTAAACGTTGTTTCTCTTTTTCTCTCTCCTCCTCAGTTGTCTGTAATTTAAATGTGTACATTTTTGATCTTAGACCAATAAAATGCGTAATTATTTTTCCATTGGCTTCATCCTTCATTAGACCAGGGATTTTTTTATTTAATCGTTCTATCTCATATGGGTTATTTTCTGAATAGTCAGATGTATCAAATTTAGAGTTGTATGTCTTTAAAACCTCCTTATATGCATCTGAACACCGTAATTCATATACAAAACTGTCTGTATCCATGTACAATAACATACAATTTTCTTCTCCCATCGTTGGAAGCATAAAGGAGTAATGAAAATCATACATGCATAATTTTGATATGTCGAGGATTGCTGCTCCTATATACAGAGGTTTATTAAAGCACACTACTGATTTGGTTAGTTCGATGGCTACCAGATTTTCACTAAAAATAGTACGACTGTGAAACCGAATACTTGCAATCAAGTTTTTGGCTCCATATCTTCCATTCCAATTTTTTGCTAATTTTACGATTCTATGTCTTCTTATATTCTCCATAGTCTTACCAAATACAGCATTGTTCATCATTTTATATAGATTTTTCTCGAAGCTACACTTAGCTGCGGCCCGTAAGTTAGTATTAAACGTGATATAGGGTCGCAGCCATGCAGATTGATTAAATTTTAAAACTTTATGTATTTTAGTTAAAATTAATCCATTAGATAAAGCTTGCTTTAGATTTCTATAGTGAATAATATATTTTGACTTATTAAAAAGAGTTGGCAATAATTTTGGTAGTTTTGAACCGGGAGGTATGCGGTGTTCGGCAGCAAATGGAAAATCTTTATGCTTGTCATGTAATTCATGTGGATACTCTAAGTCAACTTGAAAGAAATAGCCCTCCTTCGCATCATTCGGTATTGACATAATATCAATATGATCTTCGGGAAAAGTAGTGGATTTAGATGCAATACCAAATTTGGTAACATCTTCAATCCACTTAAATCCTCCAAAAGGTAAATATTCACTCATAGCCCAACCGTACAGATTATTTACATCTAAATACATAATGTACTTAGATGGTTGTGTGGGATCGTATGTCGGCATATATTTATTGTTAGCTTCAGAAAATCGGTTGCTACACACAGATATTCCACCTCTTATGCCTTTTTCAATAAACAAAATCATATCCACATCTTTTAAAATCTCTAATTTACATTTTGTATACCTTAACATACAGTCCCACGTATATCCTGGTATGGTATAATACCACGCAGGATCTAAATGGTACGTATCCCGACATTTTTGTCTAAATTGTTCAAATACATCAGCAAGAAGCAAAATATCTGTTTTTAAATACAAATCACTGTACTCTCCCAAATTTTTACACTTAAATGTAGACCAAACTTTCTGCGCATGAGCATACTTCTCTTCGCTAATATGTACATCACATAATTTATTATAAAAATGACTAATTGTTGGTAAAGAAGTTTCCTCTAATTTTTCCAAACTATCGATATAATCATAACAAAATACTCCTTTACAAGTTAATAAACTAAATGTATCATCATCTAAACTATAAAATTCTTGTTTTAAAATCTTTTTTTCTGAAGTATCTAAAAGTGATGCTAATTCGTCGAGTGAAGCTCCCATAAATCTTATAGTATCGATGAATCTTAGTCTAATTTTATGCTCATCTGAATGTAGGGTAAAAGAAATATATTTTTCTTTATTAATAGGAAGTAAGCTCAGGTGCCCGTGTTTGCATAAATCGGTAATCATGAAATGCGAATCGTATCCACTAAAATTATGAAAGGCTACGGGTACAACAAACAACTTTTTAAAGTTTAAATTGCATGCCTGGTGTGCAAATCCTCTTGCCTGTCCGGTAAAATGATCATGATCTACAACAATAATATCTGTAGCCGAAAAGGGTTTCTCACAAATATGACAGACAGTTGCCTCACATGTACTAGGCTTTTCAACCATAGGTACAATTGATTTTATTTTAGATTTGACAAATTTTGATATTTCAGACATTTCTTTTGCAAACCACTCCATGCAATTTTCACCTCTGTAGCTTCGAAAATAAGATAAGCTATAATCGTAAGCACATGTAAAGTAATAACCTGCACTATAAGGTACATGCTTTTGGTATTTTGCTGTTTTGATCAGTTTTACATTAGAATCTGTAAAATTATGTAACTGACATTCAAAATCTGCATATATGATAAACGGAGTAGTTTGTTTGTATATAAAATTTCTAAAAGCAACATAATCGTATTTGGGGACAGTCATTTTACATTTGTTTATGTCTCTACAGAACTCTTCATGCTCCGCTAGTTTATTCTCGTTAGAAAAATAATTCATGCAGCGATCACAAATATATTTTTTATTTGTGTTTTTACTTAACTGAGAACTTAACAATCTAGACATATCTTTAATCCAGCAATAATGATAATTTATTTCAATATTTTCATCGTCACTAGGAAGCGCGTCGTAATCATTTAACTTTGGAAAATATTTATCCTGAATTAAAAGTAAATTTACATGTCTATCAAGCTTTTTCTGCGTAATTCTAGCAGGCACTACTTCGTAAAATTGTTTTTCCTTAACTTGATTTAATTCCAAAGCATAAACATTCACTGATATGCTATTAACTTTTTCAAATTTTGTGATATGACTTAAAGACATTGGAGAATCCAAGTCATCCGTTTTCAAAGCAGTACTGTAATATGGATATGACGATGTAAGTTCTTTATTTATTTTAGCGGGATAGAGAGAGCTAATTATCGACCAATAAAAGCAATTTTGATCACCATTTTTGATATTTATACATGCTCGACGCTTTTGAATTTGCCCAGGAAGTTTAATGTACGATGACCCGTTCCCAATTTCTACTTTATTGATATTAACCTCTAACGAAATTACTCTAGAGAGAGCGGCACCTGAATCTTTTTCCGCAAATTCTGACAGCTTTTTTAAAATTTTATCTTTAACATTTTCACTAAACCAAATGTGTAGATCGGTTGAATAACTATCTAAAATGACATTTTTAGTGTTAAAATATATCAAATCTAAAATCTCACTGTCGCCTGTCTTTTTAATAAATTCCCCGCACAAAGTAGTATTGACTTTGAGTATTCTATTAGATTTCAAAATAGTTTTAATTTTTTGTTTAAATACGGTAAAAACATCATCCAAAAACGGTCCTACGTCCTTATGACATAAATTTATTATAACCCCTGTCTTAATCCGGCTTGCAAAACATGAAACGACATTTTCCCATTTTACTCTATTCCGTAATTTTAAGTTAAGTCCTAGACCAGCATGTCTATTAAAATTTAAAATTATTCTTCGAAAATGTTTAAAATGTCCTACGTTAGTTTGTAACTTTCTAACAGTCCCAATAGGTAACTTTTTAGCTTTAATGATGTTATTGCATTTCCAAATATGTGAATTTAACCGTTTTAACCAAATTTTAGCATCCCTTTCACTAAATTTATCAAAAATTATCTTACGAAGTTTTTGAATCGCCACTACCAAATTATCTGACTGTATAACAATTTTATTATGCATTTCTATATATGGCTTACAAGACAAAACAAAATCACTTACCCTCTTTTTTATTCTTATAATTAATTTTCAATAATCTTGAATGATGCTGATGGATGCTTATAACCGGAGTCAATTAGTCCTTTAAATACTATTGAGTATTTCTTGCTAGAAAAGTCAGAGAGAAATGGTGTATACGTTGTTGTAACTCTTTCAGGAAGAAAAGTAACGTTTTTCTCAAGTTCCAATAAGACCTGTGTTCCAAATCGGCTCTTTACTAACTTGGCCGAAAATATTTGATAAGGAGTATTTTGGACCAGATCCCCCAATTTTAATAATGCTTTTGGTTTTTCTTTCTCTGCAATATACGAGACATCGTTTATTTTTGTTAGATCCATCTAAAATAATAATAATACCTTGTATACACTATACACTTTTACAAATTATGAATATAAGCAAAAATAGAACAAGATATTAGAAAAAAAAGTAATATCTATAAATTAAACAAAAAATCAAAGTAAAACTTAAAAAATGTGTCTCTGTTGCGGTAATCTGATGCAAAGTGACTCGAGATAAAATAAAAACAAAATATCTACAAAGGTCTGTATGAGAAAAAATATTGCAAAATTTTAAAGCAAAAGTCTCTTAGTTAAGAGTGATTATACAGAAATAATTTATACAAATCACGAATATAAACAAAAAACAGAACGAGATATTAGAAAAGAACTAATATATATAAATAAAACAAAAAATCAAAATAAAACTAAAAAACAAATGTGTCTCTGGTGTGGTAACCTAATGCAACGAGACTCGAGATATGACAGAAACCAAAAAATATCTAAAAAGGTCTGTAAGAGAAAAACAATTGCAAAAATTTCAAAGCAAAAGTTTCTTAGATTAGAGTAATTAGGTATAGAAAATTGATACAAATCACGTATAAAGTAAAAAACAGAACGAAATATTAGAAAAGAACTAACATATATAAATAAAACAAAACAAAATCAAAATAAAACTAAAAAAAATGTGCCTCTGGTGCGGTAATCTGATGTAAAGTGACTTGAGATAAAATGAAAACAAAATATCTACAAAGGTCTGTAAAAGAAAAAAGATTGCAAAATTTTAAATCAAAAGTCTCTTAGATTAGAGTAATTAGGCATAGAAAATTTATGCAGATCACGAATATAAGCAAAAAACAACGAGATGTTAGAAAAGAACTAACATATATAAATAAAACAAAAAATCAAAGTAAAACTTAAAAACAAATGTGTCTCTGGTGCGGTAACCTGATGCAACGAGGCTCGAGATATGACAGAAACAAAAAAATATCTAAAAAGGTCTGTAAGAGAAAAACAATTGCAAAATTTCAAAGCAAAAGTCTCTTAGATTAGAGTAATTAGCATAGAAAATTGATACAAATCACGTATAAAGTAAAAAAACAGAACGAAATATTAGAAAAGAACTAACATATATAAATAAAACTAAACAAAATCAAAATAAAACTAAAAAAAATGTACCTCTGGTGCGGTAATCTGATGTAAAGTGACTGGAGATAAAATGAAAACAAAATATCTACAAAGGTCTGTATGAGAAAAAAGATTGCAAAATTTTAAAGCAAAAGTCTCTTAGTTAAGAGTGATTATACAGAGAAAATTTATACAAATCACGAATATAAACAAAAAACAGAACGAGATATTAGAAAAGAACTAATATATATAAATAAAACAAAAAATCAAAATAAAACTAAAAAACAAATGTGTCTCTGGTGTGGTAACCTAATGCAACGAGACTCGAGATATGACAGAAACCAAAAAATATCTAAAAAGGTCTGTAAGAGAAAAACAATTGCAAAAATTTCAAAGCAAAAGTTTCTTAGATTAGAGTAATTAGGTATAGAAAATTAATACAAATCACGTATAAAGTAAAAAACAGAACGAAATATTAGAAAAGAACTAACATATATAAATAAAACAAAACAAAATCAAAATAAAACTAAAAAAAATGTGCCTCTGGTGCGGTAATCTGATGTAAAGTGACTCGAGATAAAATGAAAACAAAATATCTACAAAGGTCTGTAAAAGAAAAAAAATTGCAAAATTTTAAATCAAAAGTCTCTTAGATTAGAGTAATTAGGCATAGAAAATTTATGCAGATCACGAATATAAGCAAAAAACAACGAGATGTTAGAAAAGAACTAACATATATAAATAAAAAAAAAATCAAAGTAAACCTAAAAAACAAATGTGTCTCTGGTGCGGTAACCTGATGCAACGAGGCTCGAGATATGACAGAAACAAAAAAATATCTAAAAAGGTTTGTAAGAGAAAAACAATTGCAATATTTCAAAGCAAAAATCTCTTAGATTAGAGTAATTAGGTATAGAAAATTGATACAAATCACGTATAAAGTAAAAAACAGAACGAAATATTAGAAAAGAACTAACATATATAAATAAAACAAAACAAAATCAAAATAAAACTAAAAAAAATGTGCCTCTGGTGCGGTAATCTGATGTAAAGTGACTCGAGATAAAATGAAAACAAAATATCTACAAAGGTCTGTAAAAGAAAAAAGATTGCAAAATTTTAAATCAAAAGTCTCTTAGATTAGAGTAATTAGGCATAGAAAATTTATGCAGATCACGAATATAAGCAAAAAACAACGAGATGTTAGAAAAGAACTAACATATATAAATAAAACAAAAAATCAAAGTAAAACTTAAAAACAAATGTGTCTCTGGTGCGGTAACCTGATGCAACGAGGCTCGAGATATGACAGAAACAAAAAAATATCTAAAAAGGTTTGTAAGAGAGAAACAATTGCAAAATTTCAAAGCAAGAGTCTCTTAGATTAGAGCAATTAGGCATAGAAAATTAATACAAACCACGAATATAAGAAAAAAATAGAACAAAATATTAGAAAAAAAACTAACATATATGAATACAACAAAAAACAAAATAAAACTAAAAAAATGTGTGTCTGGTGCGGTGACTCCACCCGAGTGGAAACTCGAAATATAACAGCAAAAGAAAAATGTGTCTAAGAAGAAGGTATGTAAGAGAAAAAATTACAAAATTTCAAAGCAAAAGTCTTTTAGTTTAGAATAATTCCAAAGAGGAAATTAAACATAGATAGATATTAGAAAAAACTAATATGCATAAATAAAACTAAAAAAGAAGTGTCTCTGATGCAAAGAGACGCGGAATAAAACAGAAACAAAAAATGTATCAAAAAGAAGGTCTGTAAGAGAAAACAGATCGCAGAATTTTAAAGCAAAAGTCTTCTAGTTTAGAGTAATTCGACAGAAGATTACATATATATATATATATATATATATATATATATATATATATATATATATACAAGTTACGAATATATTCAAAGAAAAAACAACGAGGTATTAGAAATGAACCAGTATTGATGAATAAAACTAAAAAATGCGCCTCTGGTGTGGTAACCCAATGCAATTAACTCGGGATAAAACAGAAACAGAAAAATGCTGCAACGTCAATTAAAATATAAAAGTAAAAAATAGTTAATAAATATCCACTTACCTTATTTATTTATTGAAGTTTACTTAACAGACTAGGCACTGTTTTCTAGCTTTGAAACTGGAAGTATAGTATTTTATCTCCGAATTTCACTATTTATATCAATGTCTCATAGCAATAATTTCTTTACATTGTACTAATGGATCGTTAACTTTTAATTTTCTTGTAATTACTCACAATATAGGGAAACTTTGTTGTTTGCAGATAATGAGAACAAATTAAGCATTAAGTTTCGGTAGAAGATTTTCACTACTGCTAATATAGTATTTTTCCTATAAATTAGCGTGACGTCAGATCGTGACGCGGGGTATAGGAATATTATATTATGATAGGAAAAATACGTGGTGTCAAATATATAGTTTAAATGTCAGCTGACTACGTAAAGATACGTATCTAATGTCTTTATGATTACGGCTGCTGAAAACAAGATGTGATTACTGCGAGAATTTCCATCAACTAGCGTGACGTATTTTTGAATTAACTATCTAAATATTTTTCCATATATTAATTAGCGTGATAGGAATATTACAAATTTACTTTAGCGGGGACGTCAACATCTATCTCACTCTTACTCACTACAAAAATACTTCTCTCTCTAACACATTGATTTCCCTATCTCTATAGTGATCCAAACGTTGTACTTCTACTAGCGTGTGTTGAATGTTTTTGTATATACTTCATAGCACACTGCTCTATTGGGATGTTTCTCAAGGAACATTTTGTACATCTTTTTAATGTTAAGTTCCTCGGGAAGGTACTTCCTGCTAGATTTTTTTAGGCTGTAGTGACTCATGCGCCATTTGAATGATTTTATGTGATTTAAAATTAACTGCATAGTTTCTTAAGACAATTTATTGGGTCGTTACCTCTATTGTCCTTGTAATCTATTACCTATTGTAATCTTCCCGTGGATATGCCATGAAGAGCAACAAAAGCTTTTTGACAAACCTGAACGTCTTTTGCAGGTGATGTATGCCCCTCATCATTAGTTACCGCAAGGCGAATTCTGTAATAAAAAGAGCCATCCCTCACGTTGCAATTCTCTTCATCTTTTCTTGGCCTTCTTTGAGTTACAGGAAGTATGGATATTAGACCACCCAAATACATACATTGCTCGTCCCAATTCAGCATAGAATTAAAATTACGAATAATTGTATTTCTTTGTTCAACCGTTATATTTTCAAAACACTGATAACGTTTGCAACGGCAGTCCTCACCTGTTTCGTGAGTTTGCACTTTTACCGCTTTAGCTACATCACGTATTCGCCCAAAACTTTTTCGTTTTCTTGAAGTTTTTGACTGTAAAGCCTCTTCAATTTCGCTGTCCTCACTTTCCATATTAATAAACAATAGTTCAAATTTACCAAACGTTAAAAAACAAACTGTGATTATGATAATATTGATACTTAAATAAACAACTTGTATGAATACTGAACACTGACTGTGATTTTCCGTTGTTAATTGTACCTACGGACA